TCTCAGACTCCCAGCCTCCAGCCCACCTGGATCTCAGACTCCCAGCCTCCAGCCCACCTGGATCTCAGACTCCCAGCCTCCAGCCCACCTGGATCTCAGACTCGCAGCCTCCAGGACCAGGAGAGAATAAACGTGTTGTTTAAGCTGCCCCATCGGTGGTGCTTTGTGACAGGCGCCTAAGCTGACTGATGGCAGTGCTTTTCACTTCTCATTTGTCAGGTTTTAGTTTAAACACATTTGGTTTTAAAATCAAAGGGAGAGTGTTTGGAGGTGGAGCATCTGAGAGCGTGACTATAAATGTGGTCTGCTCTTTAGTCTGCTTCTGTCTTGGAGCCCCTGGGGCAGCTTTCCACTCTCGTGGCTCTGACTGGGGCTCAGTCCTCAGAACAGGAAAGCTCTGGGCAGCGCCCTGGGGAGGACACATGCGGGAGAGTAGGTTCCTCAGGTTCCACCCCCGCCAGGCCTGGGGCTCAGCATTTCAGACCCGAGCCTGCCCAGCTTTCCCCGCACGTTTGAGGTTGGGCCGTGACCGCAGGCATGTGCAGGCGGCTCACAGCCCGGTTCTGTTTCTGCAGCTATATCCACCAAGATGATCGAGAGGATATTCTCAGGGGCGGTGACAAGGTACGTCTTAACAGCCATTTTCTTGTGATTTTGGGCAATGTTCTGTGCCTGAGTGCAGTTCTCATTCATTCCCTAATGTGAGCTTGTCGTGTGTTGAGAGGGAGTGCCGTTGTCACGTGAGGTCATTAAGGGAGGCCACATGCCATTGTCACACAAGCTCCTAAGGGGGAACAGCTTTGTCATGTGACGTCGTCGGGGGACATGCACAGTTCTGTTCCACCAGATCATAACGAAGGGGACACACGTCTTTGTCATGTGAGGTCGTAAGAAGGGGGGGCAAACAGCATTATCACAGGAGGTCGTTCAGTAAGGGGTGGGGGAGCACAGGCCCCGTGTGGGTGGGTCATGTCAGGCCCTGGGCCTCTGAGAGGGCCCTGGAGTAGGCCACGAGGCAGCTGTGACTGAGGCCACAGAAGCCGGTCCTGCCCTACCTGCAGTTCCAGGGCACCCCCTGCGAGCACGTGTCCTTTGAAGCCCGCCCCCAAGTGGGAGTCCAGCGTGGGACGGGGCCAAATGCAAGGCTCCACTCTCCCAGCGGGGAGGTGGGCAGGGGCCTCCCACCTCTCGCCGCTCCTCCCTGACCCACGTCTTGCCTGTTGGTCTCAACCCTGAACCCAGGGGCAGGAAAGTCCAGAAGGAAGGAAAAATAAGCTACGCTGACTTTGTCTGGTTTCTGATTTCTGAAGAGGACAAAAGAACTCCAACCAGGTACGTATCTGGGGGCTGTCCTGGTACAGCAGTTGGCAGCCGTAGGCTAACGGTCACCCCTGAGCGTGGGCGCCACCAGGGGTCCACCCGGGCAAGGCCAGTCCCAGGCGGGCTGCACACTGCGGTTAGTCCCGGTGGGGTCAGTCCCCAGCGGGGCCGGTCCCAGGCGGCCAGGCTGACCGAGCTCGCCCTGACCTGCTGTGACTGCAGCATCGAGTATTGGTTCCGCTGCATGGACCTGGATGGGGACGGCGCGCTGTCCATGTTTGAACTGGAGTACTTCTATGAGGAGCAGTGCCGCAGGCTGGACAGCATGGCCATCGAGGCCCTGCCCTTCGAGGACTGCCTCTGCCAGATGCTGGACCTGGTGAAGCCGCAGAACGAAGGTAGAGGCCCCGGAGGCGGGACGGCCCGTGTGAGGGGATGCCCCCGTGTGAGGGAACGCACCGCGGTGAGGGGACGCGATGTCTGAGGTGACTCCTCGCTAAGCTGTGATGTACCCCCGTGTGCGGGGACACCGTCACGTGACATGTCCCTGTGTGAGGGGGCATGCAATGTGCGGTGATTTTTCCCCCCGTGAGATGTGATGATGTGGTGCCCCCCATGCGAGGGGACACATCCTATGAGGTGCTTTCCCCTCCCCCATGAGATGTGATGCTTCGTGTGAGGAGATGTCCCCTTTGTGAGGGGGACACATCGTATGAGATGTCCCCGTGTGAGGGGACACGTAATGTGAGGTGGTCTCCCCCCATCCCCCGTGAGATGTGATGATGTGATGCCCCCCCATGTGAGGGGATGTCCTCCTGTGTGGGGACACATCGTGTGAGGTGATTTTTCCCCCCATGAGATGTGATGTCCCCCTTTGTGAGGGGGACACATCGTGTGAGGTGACTCCCCCCAGTGAGATATGATGCCCCCACCCCGTGTGAGGATATGGCCCCGTATGAGGGGACTCATCATGTGAGGTGATGCCCCCGTGTAAGTTGTAATGCCCCCCCAGGTGAGGAGATGTCCCCAAGACATCCCCCTGTGATAGCGTTGCCCCCACCTGTGTGAGGGCAAGTGCCCTCTGTGAGACGTGAGGGGCTCCCCATGTGGGATGTGCTCATGTGGCGGGATGCCCCCACGTGAGATGTCCCCCTGTGGTGCTCCCCCTGTGAGGGACACCCCGTGTGACGGGCCGTTCTTCCTGTAAGATGGGCTGCCTCTGTGTGGGCACATTTCCCTTGAGTGAGGGGATCCCCCCACATAAGGAGATGTCCTCACGCGAGGTGTGATGCTCCCTGTGTGACAGACACCTGTGTGAAGGGACGCCCACTCAGGGAAAGGCCATCCCTACTCTGAGCTGGTGACAAGGGTGAGCGGGGCCTTGGGGAGGCCTGGTACCAACCGTACGTCACCGGACCCCACCCAGGACCGGGTGAGGTGGTGTCATGTGTGACGTGAGCACCCTTGTTCACTGGTGGCGGCCACTCCTGAGTGCGGACACAGCACGGCGTGTCCTGGCTGTCCACCTTCCCCTGCCCCCCTCAGGCCCCGTGTGCGCCCCTCAGCTCTCACCCGCGGTGAGGGCCCTGTCCTGTTGGGGGAGGACACCTGTCCTACCGGGGTCAGGAGGCTGGATGTTCCTGACCCCACGTCTCCCTGCCTCTGCTCCCTGGTTCCCCACCTCAGGGACTCAAGCCCACGTTCCTGGTGTGGGGCGGTGCCATGGGCGCCTGGCCCTCCCCGCCCAGGATCCCACCTGGGGTCCTCCTGACACCCCCCAGCTGAGGAGCCTGCGTCCAGGGAGAGCCCAGCGGTGGCACAAGGAAGGACCCCAGGACACCTTGCAGGGTCAAAGGGACAGAGGGGGACTTTTCCCAGACTGCGATGCCTTGAGTGGTATTGTTTCCACGTCGTGGAATCCTGGTCTTGGGGTATTTATGGCCTTTGTGAGTCGTTCTGGGGCCGCCACGTCCAGTGCTCCCTAGCGGTGCATTTCCCCCTGTCCCGGCCTCATGCTCCGGGATGTGTGCCTGGGCGCCCCCTGGCGGCCAGAGCCTCTCTCTGTTCCTGCGCCCCGCCTCCACGTCTGTCGCCTCACGTTCTGGGGCACACAGGTCCCCAGGCTTGTGGTCTGCCCCGCTCCCCCACCCAGCCTTCCTGCCCACACCAGGAACTGCCTCGTGCGGGTGTGTTTCGTGCCCACTTGCATCAGGAAATGCAGCATCGTGCCGTGTTTTCAAGGCGCATCGTGACGGACGTGCGCACATGTCACGTGCGCATTTGTGCAAGCGCCCCCGGGAGTACTCGTCTCTGAACCGTTTCGTCTCCTGCAGGGAAAATCACGCTCCGTGACCTGAAGAAGTGTAAACTCGCCAATGTGTTCTTCGATACCTTCTTCAACATCGAGAAGTACCTCGACCACGAGCAGAAGGAACAGGTCTCCCTGCTCAGGGTGAGTGTGGCAAGGAGCACGTGGGGTGGCGGCCGCATCCGCCCCACGTGACACCCCTGTTCCGTCTAGGAGAGCGAGAGCGAAGGCCCCGAGCTCTCCGACTGGGAGAAGTACGCCGCCGAGGAGTACGACATCCTGGTGGCCGAGGAGGCTGCGGGAGAGCCCTGGGAGGACGGGTGAGTGTGCGGACGGGACGCAGAGATGGCCGGGAGGGCCACGCGTGGCACGTGGGCAGCGGGCGCCTCCTTTCCCACATCCACCGCACCCCCAGGGGCTCGGGCCAGAGACGGTGGCTCGTGGGGGCTGCTCACCCGCTTGCTTCGGGCACCTGTGACGTTCGGCTGACAAGCGTGTGCGGCTGTGAGCGGGGAACCTCGGTGGGGAAGAGGAGGTGGTGGTGGGTGTCCTGAATCCTCAGTGAAACCCACTCACGCCCGGCGGCGGCCTGTGCACGGGCCAGGCCCCGGAGGAGCTTCGCGAGGCCCCTTCCCAGGGCCACGGGGGCTGCAGAGCGGGCCAGGCCCCAAGTCTGCAGCCACAGCAGGGCCCCGGGTGTGAGTGCGGGCAGGCCCGGCCTCCTGCCTGTTCCGGTGCCCCTGCGTCCGCCCCTTTCCCGGGAGCAGACCCAGACGTGTTGTTGCTGCTCTGTCCCCGAGAGCTGGGACCCGGGGGCACCAGCCAAGAGGGCCCGGCACAGGCCGTGCGGTAGGGGTGTTTGAGGCCTGTGTCCCAGAGCCCGGCCTGTCCCGTCCCCACCCTCACAACCCCCCTGCCAGTATGCTTGCTCCCCGCCCCGCATTGTGGCCAACTCCCTTCCGTCTCGACCCTTGGGTCACCTGGGACCTGGGACGTCTCTTGCCCAGTCAGTCCCTCCCGCCAACCGCGGAGGGCGCACACACCCCAGAGCTGGGGTCCTGGAGAGCCCGGCTCAGGGCCAAGGACCCGACAGACCCTCATGCAGTCCCCGCGGCTGGGAACCTTGTCCTGATTTGGGACCTGCTCATGGGGCCAGCGCGGGGAGACAGGCCTTGAGGCCCATTTGCCGCCGACGCTCCTCTCCCCCATGGCTGACTGTGTGAGGGATTGGGGGGCTGTCCTGCTCCCAGGCCTGTGGCCGGTCCCAGCCCCGCTCCACCCTCCGGGCCTTGGGCCTTCAGGCGTGTAAACAGGCCTGGGTTCAAGGGTGGGGGACTCTGGTGTCCGCACACAGCCCCGACGGGTTCGGCTCACACACGTGTTCCCTGTTCCCATCGGAGGCCACTCAGCCCCCAGGTCAGGGTCACGCAGGGTCAGGCATGTTCCCACATGGGGCTTGCGGCACAGGAGCGGAACCCGTGGCAGGGCGTCCCCTCTGCCCCTCGCGACGGGGCCTCCGTGCAGGAGTTCTCAGTTTGGTGGGCCTGGGGCTGCCTGCTCGGGGGTCCTGACCCCCACCCCCAGGAGGGTTTCAGACGGGCAGGGGGCACTTCGAGCATCCCCCGTCCCTGCCCATTCGGGCTCTTGGCAGGTGCTGGGCTGCTCTTCGTTCGGCATTGGTGGTTTTCCCGGACGCCACGGAAGTGGGACCCCGCCGTCCCCTCACACAGTCTCTGCCGGCACAAGGTGTTAGCGAGCCGGGCCAGTCGGTGGGCGCATCGGGCACTCCACGTCCCCGCTGAGTAGGGTTCCGGCTCCAGGTGAGCACCTGCCAGGCCACGGATGTTCGGTGGCTTCCCCTCTGGTTCTGGGCAGCTGTGAGTAGCGCCGCTGTGAACCATTCCCACACTGGCCTGTGTGAACGTGGGCTCTCCCGTCTCTGGGTTCAGTGCCTGAGGCTGCGGGTCACGGGGGACGCCTGTCTGCCCTCACCGGAACCCGCAGCGGCGTCCCACGCGGCAGGGGACGGTTCTGGCTGCTCCACATCCCCGTCAGCGCGGTCTGCTTGCGGTCATTTCCACGTCAGCCCGTCCTCGGCGTGCCACCGGGCGTGTCCTCTCGCGGCTGCGAGCGTCCCCGTCCTCGCCGGGCCTCCGTGGTCCCCGGGGCATGTGCCTCGCGTCTGTGCGTTCTCCGCGTCGGATCATCCGCTTCCTCACTGAGGTTTTACGGTTCTCCATCGCTCGTCGACACGAGTTCTCTGTCGCACCTGTGGTTTGTGGACGTCTCCCCCAAACTCGTGGCCTCTGTTTTCGTTGGACCGTGTGTCAGAGAGACGCTGTGCTCACTGCTGAGGTGCCAGGCGTTGTGCATGCCGCCCCACGCTGTGTCCTGGTTCCCGTGTCAGACTCTGCTGCCTCGTCCAGCCCGCAGCGCTCCTGTCTGCACGTTTCAGATGCACGTCCAGCCCACGGCTCAGCACACCCAGGTCGCGACGGGCACAGACGCCAGGCGAGGGCGCTCCGGGGGCAGACGGCAGGCTGTGGCCCGTCCTGACTCGCGCGGGGCGTGAGGTGAGGGTCCAGGTTCCTGCCCTGCTGCCGCAGCACCGTCTGGGGCGGGGCCCTCGAGGGGCTGGCCACGTTGCTCACGGGGACGTGCGTGCGCGCCAGGTGTCCCCAGCGCACTCTGCGTCTGTCCGCGCGCCTCTGCGGCCTGCTCGTGCCGCCACGGCCTGAGGGAGAGGCCTTCGCGCTCCTTCTGCCTCCCAGGTGTCCGGGCCACGCGGTGCTTTGCGTTTCCGCAGGAGTCGTGAAATCTGCCTGTGGGTTTCCTGAAGAGGCTGCGGGCCTGGTGCCGGGCCTGTGTGGGGGAGAGCTGGAGAACCGACTCCCTGGCCCCACCGGCTGGTGTGGGGTGGATTGTGAAGCCATCTGGCTCTTCGCCAGCCTCCCGGGCTTGTGTCTGCAGCTCCGTGGGGACGTGGCAAGCCCGTGGTCTGATGTGACCCGCGTTCTTCCTCACGGTCGTGTCGTCGGTTCCTTGGCCTTTATGGCAAATCTGAGGACGAGCTTGTCTGTCCCGACAAAACAGGAGATGGAAGGTTCGATTATTCCTTTTCCGAAATCTCCTGTGGCGTGGAGACGGTTGGCATCTCGAAGATGCCGCGTTTCCTAACCCACAAGCGTGGGTCTCTCCGCGTAGTCAGGTACCGTGCTTTTCCGCCAGGATTGTGTGCTTTTCGGCACCTGGATCTTTCTGTTCTTTGTCACGTAAGTGCTTCCTGACGTCTGCTGTTGGAAAGGTTGTTTCAACTTGGAACTTGTGGTTCTTTGTGGAAAGCGCACAGCAGTACCGTCTGTCCGTCCGTAGTTTGCACTTGTGTCCAACGCACCTGTCGGCCGCAGGAGCGTCTCTTTCGGGCCTCTGGGGCTTCGTGCGTGGACAGTCACGTGCGGGTGAGGAGGACACTCTCGCCTTCTCTGACCACCCGCCGCACTTCCTAGAATGTCCGCTACGATGTTGGGTGCCAGTGGGCGTGTGTCCTTGCCTGGTCCCCAGGCCGAGACGCAGAGGGGTCATCGTGGACGACGAGTTGTGATGTCAGCCCAGAGCAGACACTGAATTCTGTCAGATGCCCCTGTGGATACGGGGGATCTTCACAGGTTGGCCCCGGAGAAACCCTACTTGGTCCCACCGTCCGATCCCGTTCACAAAGTCGACTCGTGGCCTCTTACCTCGTGGCTCCACGTCTCGTGCTGGTGTCCAGGGCACGCCGGCCTCCAGGTGCGGGCACGGCTCCTCTTCCCTCGGGGTGGAGGCAATGCGCCACTGACCCCGCTGGGCCTGCGGCTTCCCCAGGGTGCGTTCACAGCCGTCCGGGGCCACCAGCAGCGCCTCCGGGCTATAGTGCAGACACGCCCACGCACGAGAGAGAGAGAGGGGCGCCCTGCCCCGGGCTGAGGCGGCCGCGCCCCCGTGTCTTACCAGCCCGTCCTTGCAGGTACGAAGCCGAGCTCAGCCCTGTGGACCAGAAGCTGAGCTCCCTGAGGTCCCCGCTGGCCCAGAGGCCCTTCTTTGAGGCGCCGTCCAGCCTGGGCACCGTCGAGCTGTACGAGTACGCGTGTGAGGACGAGGACCTGCAGCCCTCGTGACCCGCACCCAGGTCTGGATGCAGGGCCGCCGTCGTGTAAAGAACAAAGCTGTTTGAGCGTTGAGCTGTCTGTTCTAGAAAACGAAGCGATTTGTATGGGATGATGAATTTTTATTTATTCAACACGGAAGCTGGTCAGGTGGTCACTGAGCGTGTGTCCCCGCCGGCCCGGGACCCCTGGCTGGGGGAGGAGACACGCCGGCCCCACCGTCTAGCTCTTGAGCGCAGGCGTCCGGAGACACCCACACGGCCGACCGGCCGCTCGCAGGGGAGCCACGTTCTGCTCCAGAGCATCGGCCTCGGGCGTGAGCCGCGCACGGACTTGCGGGCTTGGATGGCCCGGTGTTGTTCTCACGTCGTCGGTCAGGAACATTCCAGGGGCCCCGGCGCCACGGTGGCCCCAGGACCTTCCGCCCACAGGAGCGTCTCCAGGTGCCGCCCCAGCTGCAGCCCTGCACGCGGGGTTTGGGAGGGAGCACCCCCTCGAGCGTACTTACGTTTTCACGTAAATGTACAAAAGGTGTAAAGTTAACTTTTACTTGGTGTGTATAGCAGTTTAAAAACGTTTTACGAGATCACGTTTGTATTTTCAAATAAAGAGTTTACGGATTTTCTGTGACGGGCTCGGCTTGCCCAGCCCACGACACAGCACACACAGGTCACGACGGGCACAGACGCCAGGCGGGGGCGCTACGGGGGCAGACGGCAGTGTCCCCACGGGAGACTCCACGCGGCGTGCACGGCTCCGGGGTGCGGGAAGCCCGGCCGCGGGCCCCAGGCCGTGGGGCCCCGAGTGTCCGGCAGGGTGGCCCTCCTGCCCAGACCTGCACACGGGCCACCCGTGGTCCTGACGCCACGGCCAAGGGCCATGCTTTCCCACCGTGGCTTCCAGAGTCCTGGGGAGGGCACAGCCAGAGGCACTGGTGTTCCCCCCGCCCCCCGGACGGCAAGCCCCCAGACCCAGGTCTGCGCGGGGCTGCAGAGGCCCGAGGTCCCGGGCCGGTTCTTGCCTCTGCACAACCAGCGGGAGTCCTCCCCACAGACCGGCCTCGCTGTCCGTGTCCACACGGGGGCGTCCTCCACACAGTGGCCCCGAGAGTTCTGGTTTGGCACCAAACGGGGTCTGAGGCGCGGAGTGCCCCACCCTGCGTGTCCAGGGAGGGCGGCCTACGTGCGTCCAGCCCCCGCCCCGAGTCAGGTGCAGCTGGTTTGCCTGAAGCGAGCGGGTGCTGAGCCGACCGCGGGCAGCAGGCCCATACCTGCCCTGCATCCGGCCCTCAGCGCTGGACGCCAGGGAACGCCCAACAGCGGGGCCCTGGGAAAGGAAGAGCTAGCGCCGCTCCACGCAGGACCACGTCGGACTAGGGAGCCAGCAGGATGCTCCACGGCCGGGGGCAAAGCTGGCTCCGGAACCTTCCAGCCAAGCACAGCAGTCGCCAGAGGGAAGTCGCAGGTGTGTAGGCACCTGGTGGGTAGGTGGGTGGGTGCGTGGGCACCCCGGGGGGCCCCAGTCAACGGCCACGTGGCCCTCTCCCCACATACGGGGCTGGGGTGCGCAGGGGCGGATGGCAGAGGTCACCGTCATCCGCCTGGAGCCCCCAGGGGCCTGGGTCAGCCGCACCTGGACGCCGCCGGCTCCCCAAGCCCAGGAATGCAAGGCAGCAACCGAGGAGGAACACGGAACTCCTGACGTGAGTCCCAGCGGGGCGTGTGTCCTCTTCAGTCTGACGCCCCCTGGGGACGGAGAGACAGACAGCCTTCAGGACCCACAGACAGACACGTGGATGGAGAGACAGTCCTCAGGACCCACACACGGACACGTGGACGGAGACACGGACAGCCCTCAGGACCCACACACGGACACGTGGACGGAGACACGGACAGCCCTCAGGACCCACA